ATGCAAGGTACTCCACCTCAGGGGGAAAAAAACCCCGCAGCATGCTTATAGGATCAGCGGTGCTTGAGGGACATGATTGACCACAAAATGAACATAAGCCACCAATGCGGTGTCGCAGCTGGTAAAGCAAACCAAACTATGGCTTGCATCCATAGATGCTACTCAAGTAAATCTCAGGATGTTATCCTCCCACTGTACTCGACCCTGGTGAGGCCACAGCTGGAGTACTGCATCCAGTTCTGGGCTCCTCAAGTCAAGTAGGATGTCAAGAAGCTTGAGAGAGTCCAGAGGAGAGCCGCACACATGATCAGAGGGCATGGTAATAGGCCTTATGAAGAGAGGCTGAGAGCCACGGGAGTCTTCAGCCTCCAAAAGTGCAGGCTCAGGGGAGACCTGGTGGCTGCCTATAAGTACACAAGGGGTGTGCATCCGGATCTGGGGGAACGTCTGTTCACCAGAGCACCCTGAGGTATAACAAGGACAAATGGTCATAAACTCCTCCAAGACTATTTTAGGCTGGACATAAGGAGAAATATCTTTACTGTCCAGGCCCCCAAGGCCTGGAATAGACTCCCTCCAGAAGTGGTGCAGGCACCCACTCTGGAGTCATTCAAGAGATGTTTGGATGTTTATCTTGCTGGGATCCTTTGACCCTAGCTGAATTCCTGCCCCTGGGCGGGGGCCTGGACTCAATAATCTTCAAGGTCCCTTCCAGCCCTAACGTCTACAAAATCTATGAAATCTATGAAGTGGATGGCTCGGTGCAGGAGCACCCCCTACTGGCCTGCCACAGGGTGTGAATGCAGGCAGGGCTGGAGACACTGCACACACTTGTCTATTCAGATACACTGACCACCTTCCCTGTAGCCCAGGCCAGGACTGGGGACAGGGCTGTGCCAATGCTTCTGTTGAGACCAGCCATGCAGTGTCCTGGGAAGAGGGTCTTGTCAGATGTGGGAACCTGTGGTTAGGTTTGTCCCGAGGCTGCAGTGGGGGCAGAAAGGGCTGGGGCAGGTATGGGGGGAGGATCTTGTTACTCCCCAGCCCCTTCCTGCCCCTAAAGAGCTACTTGCTGGCAGTGCTGGTGGGGGTAGAGCGGGGCTCCAGGCCTGCTGCCCTTTCCCAGGTGTTGGGGAGTTCGGGCTGTGGGTTTCATGGCTGGTCCTACTCCTTGTCTCTTGCAGGGTCCTGCATGGGATCTGACTCCACCTGGGGGGAGGACCCCTTCCCCTCCTGGTGCTGCCACTGACAAAGCAGGGCAGGCCCTCATGTCCCAGGGGGAGGCTGGGTGGACCCAGTCAGGCTGGTGGTGGGGTGGGACATGCCCATCTCTCCTCCCTGCTCCCTGTCCTCCATTCCCCCCACCATGGCTGGAGTTGAGCCCAGTGGGGCAAAGGCAGATGTGGACTGCTTGTTGTGGGCTCCGGGATCTCCCTCCCCATCATCATGCCCCCTGGATGAGCCACCTGTAGCTCCATCCCGCTCCCTACCCCAGCCCTGGGTCCCCTGCACTGTTCTGGCTGAGCAGTGCCCCCAGCTCCAGCCCCTGCTCCTGCCCCACTCTCTCCTGCACCATAGGGGACTCAATTTGCCTCCCCATTCCCCTTTCCTCCCCCACGCCCCCTTCGCCACAGTACACTTACTTGCAGGGAGCTGCCTGCCTGGCTGAGTTCCTTGCACAGGGGTGGTGCTGGGGGTGGGGGGAGGTTGAAGGGGCTACAACCACCTGGAAATTTGCCTTAGTTCCCCTCTCAGTGCTGCTACCCAAGACCTAGTCGGAAAGCTGACATGCGTGTGAATGGGAATCCTTCTGGCTCCTCCTGCTGCAAGACTGGGCCCTCACGACCATGCCGGTACGGGGCCATAGGAGCCCAGAGATCAGGGGAGGGCAGACAGGGCAAGGGGCTGCATCCAGCTGGGGGTGCAGGAACATCCTTGTGGTGTGTGTGCATGTGTGTGGGGGGGGGGCTGGACCTGAGGGAGCATCATGGGAGAAAGAGGCTGGAGAGGAGAAGCTGGAGCTGATGTGGTTGAGCTCAGCATCTGCAGCCTCCCTGAGGCAAATGCAGGAGTTGCTGGGGGGGGGGTGCAGCCGACAACTCTTACCCTCTCCCATTCCCCATGGTGCTGGAAGATCCACCCCAGCAACCCCGGGAAGATGTCATGGAGCCTGTGTCCTGCCTCAGGCCACAGTAGCTGTGGCCCTGCTGCTCTGGGCCGGTCCCTGGACAATTTTGAAGCCAACACTGTCCCTCAGAGCTTCCTCGCCCACACGGACACTGTGCGCTAGATCTGCTTCCAAGACTGGTGGCTGGCCTTGGGCAACGAGGTGGAGTGGGTCTGGCTGGATGAGGCTTGGTTTCCAGGGTAAGCTGCATGGGGCTGCCTGCTGGCCCTTTTGGGGATGGGGGCACATGGGGAGAGCCCCAGGGGGTGTCACCAGGGTGCAAGTGGCCAGAAGGGGACTGTGGCTTCCCGGTCCACAAGAAGCTGGCACTGGGGCTACAGCTGGATGAGACCCTGGCCACCACCACCTCCTTTGCAGACCTTGGCAAGAAGTCAGCTTTAATGCTCATGAATACATGAAGGCTGGAGGAATTGAGAGAATGGGCCGGTATAAAGACAACTCCCCTGGTCTGTGAGAAGCTGGCTGTCCAGCCCAGCAGCCTCCAAGACCCGTTCTTGCTCTAGCATTAGGCAGCGTAGAAGATGCGCTCCAGGGCCTGATGCCGGGACTCAGCTGTGAGTACAGAAGTGACTCCCCCATATTGAAGACTCCTTGCAGCCTCCCGGGGTCTGAGGCTGTGGGAGTGTGGTGGGTATCCAGGGGCTGTAGGGTAGCAGGGGCAGGGAGCCTGGGGGACTGTGCTCTTCCTGCCAGCAGCCCCAGTTAACCCTGCCCCTTGCCTTCCCGGTCCTGCTGCTCCAGGGTCTGGCTCCCACCTGCTCCAGTCCTGCCTGCTCCTGTGCCTTCCTCTGCCAGCACCCAGGGCTCAGCATCCATCACCTGCTGCATGGAGCCTGTCCCAGGGCTTCAGGGAAAAGCCCTTTTCTGCCAGCGAGGAGGGAGGGAGCTCCCACATCCCTCCAACCTAAGCATGAACAACTGCCACCCCAGCAGTGTCAAGCAGAGGCACCATCGCCTCCCGCATCCGGCACCTGATGCTCCTGTTGATGCAGCCAAACCCGCACTCACCTTTTGTGCAGTGCGTCACACTGCAGACTTGTCCCGATGCTGACACCCGCCAGGACTCCCAGGTCCATGTCCACAGTGCTGCCATCCTGCTGCAGGCTCCCAGACTCTCCCTGCAGCTCGCATCGTTTCTCCCGCGGGCAGTACTTCGCATGTCTCTGCCCTGCATTGCCCTGTGCTGCCCCCCACCCAGCTTTCCAGTTTGCCAGAGTTTTTCTGGACTCTGCTCCCCTCTGCCAGCCTGTTCGCAGTCCTACCCCATTTCGTGTCCCCTGCAGCCTAGCTTCAGCAGCTCCGTGCCGGCATCCAGGTCCTTAATAAACATGGTGCACGACCCTGGGCCCAGGACAGAGCCCTGTGGGACTCCACTGGAAACCGCCTGCTATTCAGATGTGGATCTGTTCATAATGTCCTGTAATGAACGGGGATGGGGCAGTTTTGCCCAGTGGCAAGACACTAGGAGGGCAGGTGCAGCCCAGGTCAGGTTCCCCAGGGAGTGGGAGGGAGTCCAGCAAGGTCTGGCATCCAGCCTGGATCCGGAAGCTGTAGCCGAGGCTGGATGGCCAGGGTCAGAAGGCGTAGCCGGAGACAAACGGAGCTGAGGGTAACCGGGATCAGAAGCCGAATGCCGGAGCTGAGGTCTCCCTAGAGCTGGAGCCAGGAGTCCTAGATCAGCACAGAGATGCATGGACGGCTGGGACAGGACCCTTCCCCTTGGTGTTCACAGGGGGTCTGCACCAGGCCAGACCTTTGCCGGTCGTAAGCCGGGTCTCTCTATGCCTGGCCATGGGTGTGCCCAGTGCACATGTCTCCAAGCTGTGTGAGGAGGTCATGCAGGACCTGCCCAAAGCCTGGCCACAGCCCAGACACGCGATGCCGCAGCAGCCCTTTGTCCCCACCAGTTCCCCAGGCCAAGGAGGAAATGGAACTTGTTGCACGTGATTTGTTTGTTATGAACCCACACGGCTGCTTGTGCTCGGCCTTTGCTCCTCCGCACACTTGCACAGGCCCTTCTTGAACATCTGCTCCAGTGACTTCCTAGGCACGGAGGTGAGGGGAACCGGGCTGTAGCTCCCCAGGTCCCCATTTGTCCTTTCCACCAAGCGGCATCATGCTGGCCCTTCTCCAGGCCTCTGCATCTCCCCCATCTCCCATGACCCGGTCAATATTGTTCCCAGGGGCCAGTTCCTTCAGTCCTGTGGTGGAAGATCCTGAGGCCCTGCTGAGCCGGATGCGTTCAGACCCCTCCGCCTGCCTAGGAAAGGGCTTGGGGCTAGCTGTGGGGCTCGATGACCCGGGTAGCTGGGAGAGAGGGGAGAGGAGTGGTGGTGCTCAAAGCGCCCTTCCTCTGGGCTGGAGAAGAAGCAGCGGTAGCCTCAGCTCAGCACCTGATCGAGCTGAGAGCAAAATAAACCACAGGCTGTGGGGGATCTCGTGACCTTCCTGTGCCAGGAAATCACATGCATTTCTTTGACCATTGCGGCGATAGTGATGCTTCAGCCCTGCAGAAACTGATGGTCTCGCTAGGGCTTGCATGCGCAGACCTGTGCCCTGGGTGTAGGAGTCTGTGCGGAGGAGGCTGACCCATGCCCAGGTGCCTGTGAGCATTGATGGGGGCAGGTCCTGCATTTGGGAGGGTCCTTTTCCCTCCCTGCAGTTCAGCGATGGACCCAGAGCCCAGACACAGCCCAAGAGACACTGTTGTTGAAGCCTGTGCCCTGGTTACACGGGCTATGCCTGGGTCTGGGACAGACAGAGGCTGATGGGCCAGGCCTGGGCCTACTCCACATGCCCTCTCAGATGCCAGCCCCTGGCCCTGGGGACCTGCTTGGGGAGGGTGCAGCCATTGCTGCTGGAGCCAATGGCAGGGCCGTGCCTCCACATCCGGCTGTGCTTGGCCACCCCCAGCTGTGGTCAAGGGCACTTGTGCTTCTGGCTGATGCATCCCTCCTGCTGGGAGATGCTGCACCGGCTCCAGCAGCCCTAGAGCTGTTCTGTGCGACACGGGCAGGATGGGGGAGAGCATGACGTACGCTGCGCTGTGGTTTTCCAATGCACCCCTGGAACAAAGTGTGACATGCAGGGCACAAGGGACAGGTAGGAGCCAGCATCCATCTCCCACCCAACCCTGCCCCAGCCCCACACCCCGACCAGCCCCTGTGTCTGCAGCCCCACCAGCCCCAGATGAGGCCAAGGACATCTATGAGACCCTTCAGCTGAGCCCGATGAGTGAGGGGCCAGTCAGGCCTGGGACCCAGCAGCACAGAGGTGAGTGTAGGGGCATCCCCTGCCCTGCCCAGGGCTCCCCAGCAGGGTTGGAGAGAGCTCCCAGGGGTGCACAGCTGGCTCAGGTCATATGTCAGAGGGGACAGGTGATGGAGGGGTGTCCTGCCCAGGGCTGAGGGGTGGCTCTGCTTGCTGTGCCCAGGCTGCAGGCAGAGCAGGGGTGTGTGGCTGCCCCAGGCTCTAGGGTTTTGCTGGTGCACACATGGGCCAGGAAGGTGCTCCCCTCCTCCCCAGGTGCTGCAGGCATCAGGGTTTCCTTTGCCACCCTCAGAGGTGCTGGGTGCCGGCTGCAGAGAGGTGCTGGGCTGTGTGGGTCTGAGCACAGGCAGGGTTCGAGGCATCGTGCACACTCGCCCATTCAGACACACGCACACGCTCGTTCAATGACAGCAGCTTCCTGTGTGTGACGCTGCCACCCTCTCTGCAGCCCAGGCCAGGGCTAAGCACTGGGCTGTGCCAATTCTCCTGCTGGGACCAGCCTGCAGGGGCCCGGATAGAGGGTCTTGCCCCCGTGCTCAGGCTCAGCCCGAGGATGCAGTGGGGTCAGGAAGGGCAGGGGCAGGTGCTGGGGGGGATCTTATTACTCCCCAGCCCCTTCCTGCCCTTGCAGAGGTGATCACTGGTAGAGCTGGGGCCTGGGCTGAACCAGCACAGCCTCCCGTATGCTTTTGGGCCCCCACCTGCCTGGCCATCCCCCACCAAACCTGTCTGTACTGGGAGGGCAGGGCCGTGGCTCCGGAGCCAATGGCAGGTCTGAGGCCCCACGTCCGGCCGTGCTTGGCCGCCCTGCCTGTGGTCAAGGCCAGAGGTGTGGCAGCCTGTGGGTGCTGGGGCTGGTTGCACAGCACCTTGTTTCTTGCAGAGCATCGGTGGAGCATGCGTCCCCTGCTCCTGGTGCTGCTGGCCACCACCATCACCTTGGGGTCTGCTATGAGTAGGGGTCTGCCCAGTGGCAGGGAATGCAGGTTTGTGGGGGGAGACAGGCCTGGGGGGACAGCGAGGGAGACACGTGTGATCTTGGTCCTGCGTGAGGGCAGCCTGCCCCCGGTGCCGATGTCCCAGTGCCCACAGATGGGCAGCAAGGGCCGCAGCAGAGGCAGGCGCGAGGGAAGATGGTGATGTGTCAGAAGGAAGCCCGGGGCCTTCAGGAGCAGCTGAACATGATTGCAAGAGCCCCGGCCAGCGTGCAAGCCTGCCAGGTCACAGGTACCCCAGGAAGGGGCAAAGCAGGGTGTGGGGCACTCCCAGGGTGGGCAGTTCGGGCAGGACGGGTGCTGGGCCCAGGCCCTGTGGGGATCAGGCGGGGCACTGCTGTGGCAGGGAGCCCTGTTGTCCTGGCCCCGCTCCCCTGGCTCTTTCATCCTCCCCTGTCCTGCTGCCCCATGGCCTGGCCACTGCCTGGCTCCCACCATGTCCGCCCCAGCACTGCTCTGCGGGCAGAGGCGATGGCTCCTGGAAGGGCCACGTCTCCGGGGCTCTGGCACCCCCAGCGCAGCGGGGGCACAGGGCGAGAACGCGGGTGCGAGCGGCTGCCTGTGCCCAGACCGCTGCCCGGAGACCTGGGTGCTGCACCGCGGGACGTGCCTGTTCCTCTCCAAGGAGAAGAAGACATGGTGGGAAAGTCTATCAGCTTGTGCAGGGGAGTCCTCCCGGCTCTTTGTCGTCCCGGACTGGGACCACATGGCCATGCCGGTGCGGGGCCACAGGGCTTGGGGCTCGGGGGCAAGGCTCTGTGTCTAGTGGGGAGAGGGAGGATAGAGCAGGGCGGAGGCAGGGACCATCAGAAAAGCTGGTGCCGGAGAAGCCGGTGGCTCCATCCGGGTGGAGGGGAGCGGGGCCGGGCAGGGCCTGGCGGGTGCAGGCAGCGCGAGGGGGCACCTGGGGCAGGGGAAGGGAAGAAATGGACTGGAGCAGAGGAAGAAAGGCTGGAAACCTCCTGCCAGCTCAGTAGCCAACAGCCTTTCTCCTGCCCCTTCCCAGTCCTAAGGGCTGCCCCCAGCACCCTTCTGGGAGCTGCACCTGGGCACTGGGGTCTCCCTGGCCTGGGGACATTTTACAGCTGTCATGACCTCCCCAGAGCTGTCCTGCTCGTGAGGATGTCCCGTACTGGATCGGACTCAGGTGGAGTCCGCATGTATCAGTGGCAGTGGGAGGACGACACCCTGTACAACACGCAAGCTGGCACCGAGCTCCTTGCCTGGAAACTCCTTGCACCCCCTTCCCGAGCCCCAGCGCCGGGGTGTGGGGAGCTCCCTGCCACCCCACCGCAGCGCGGGCTGTGACGGGGGCTCTGGCTCGGGCCCCGGTACAAGGCCGCAGGCTCCCAGCCAGCTAGCTCTGCCTGCCCCACTCACCCTGCTTCTTGCCTTCACGTCAGGATGCTCCCAGGAACAGCTCTCACCGGTGCCAGCACGACCCCTCCCAGCACCAAGGGCTCAGCACTCCCCAAACCATCCAGCAGACAGGCCCAAGCAGGGCATTAGGGGATGTTCCTGGGATCTCCAAGCTACACCAGAGTCCGGTTGCTGGACCCCTCAGGCCTGATGCAGCCAGACAAGGGAGCATTTCTGACCTGGCACAATTGGGAGTGCAGGGGGCTCAGGGTCCCCCTCCTTTCCACAGCCACACGCGCGTGTGGGCCCCAGCTCTGCGGGTCGCAGCTCCTGCTCTCCTTCTTATCTGCTCCACGTGGCATGGCCACTGCCCCAGTCTGGACCTGTGGGCTGTATGCATGATGGCCATGCACGGGCCCTGGCAGCGGGGTGGAGGGAACCTCCCACCCTGCAACCTGCTTCCTTCTCCTCTGGGCAACCTCGCACCAACCCCACCTTCCCCTGGCTGCAGCCTCCTCCCCACAGCAGCCCATGCTGCCCCAGAGCCAGCAGACAGAGCCCTGCTCCCTGCTCCCTCACACACACCCAGCCAGGGCAGGAGGGGCCCCTGCGGGCAGCCAGGGAGTCCTGGCAGCCCCAGGGACTATTTGATGTCTTCAGGTCGATGGGGTGCGGGCAGGGACCTGAAGTTAAAAGCATCCCCGAAGGGTTGAGTCCCACTGGTCATCGACGTCGCTGCGGCGAAGGACGACCAGCACCAGCAGGCCCCAGGGTCACTACTGACATGAGGCCAGGCACTGGCCCTGTGCATCATGCAGATCAGGGAGCCGGCCCCGCACCAAGCCCATGAGTGTACCCCATCCCGTCCCCACTGAGCTTCATGCTGGGGCCCTCTTTGTGCCACAGGCACAGGTCAGGCAGGATGCCTTACAGGACAGGCAGGTTTATTCAACACTGTAAAGAAGCCGGGATATATATTACTGCCATTCGTGCTGCTCACGCTCATGGTCATATTATTAAACCCCAGAGATTGCATTCACCAGTGCAATGTGTGGGGAAGGGAGCGCTGGGGCAGGGGCACCCCCAGCCACCCTATTGCACACAGGCCTCCCCCAGTAGCTGGTCCGTCACCGGGACCCCCACACCTCCGACCTCCCCGCCCATCTGTGCACAACCGTCCCATGGCCCCGGGCAAAGCGGGGCAGGCCCAATGAACCCACTTTCCCTCACAAAACCTCCCCCAACCCCAGCTCTAGCCCCCAGCCCGATCCAGGCCCCCAGGCACTGGCTTCCTAGCTGGTGAGTGAGGTGACCCAATGCTGGATGGGCAGAGCCCACACCCCAGCCTGTTGCCTCGAGGTGAGGCATGAGGTCCCCCAGAAAGGGGCACAGCCCAGTGCCCCCGGATGGGGGGAACCAGTACCCAGCCTCTCCTGTCTGGACAGTGCTGAGGCAGCTGTGTTATTGCACTTGCGCCCGGGGCCGTGGCCATGGGGCACTGCCAGCACCTGATACACTTATCCCGGGCACTGGACCGCAGCGCTGTGCTTCCTGGGCACCGGGGCCCGCTGGTGAGTCAGGGCCAAGCTGCCGCCTCCCTGGCACGTCCACCCTGCTGATTGCACCCCAAATGGTGCTGCTTGCCAAGATGAGCCCAGGCCCACGTGTCACTCACTGTGCGGGGCATGTGGGGCAGGGAAATGACAGGCGAGGGTCTTGGCAGGTCAGCGCGGGCTCCAGACCTGGCCGCGGCCATTGTGCCCAGGACTAGGACTGTGCCTCGGGCAACTTCAGGCTGGGCTCGGCTAGCGCCAGCCCTGGGGGCTTGTGGTGGCGGCCCCGGTCCTGGCACAGCAGGCTCTTGGCCTCACAGTTGAGGTTCTGGTAGCGCGGCGGGCTGGGCGCGGGCCGGTGGCACACGGAGGCCAGGCTGAAGCTGAAGGGACCCAGGCAGCAGCCGGGACAGGCCAGCACCTCATCCTGCTCCAGCTCCGTCCGCTCGAAGGTGCCCGCAGGCGGCACGCTCAGCTCCGAGAAGCCGTGCTCCAGACCCCGGCCCCAGGCATGGGGCTTGCTCACCACCACGTGGTTGTTGTTGAACCGCAGCCCGTTGGGTGGCAGGGCCTCCGGGGCCCAGGGCCGTGTGTCCGTGGCCGCTGTGCGAATGAAGTTGCTGTTGGCCGGCACTGGAGCCGGTGGGAGCCCATGCTGTGGGTCAGGGCTGTCGGGGCTGCAGTCCATCAGTTCCACTCCCACAGGGTTGGGCAGTGCCGAGCAGCCCCCCAGCTCCGGTGCCTGCCCCCAGCGCAGTGGCGGGAGAAGCGTGGGGGGAGCAGGGGCCTCCGTAGGGCACAGAGCTGGTGGCCGGTGGGAGGCAGAGTCCGACTCAACACTCAGGGCCAGCCCAGTGTGTCGTGGCAGCTCGGGGGAGGCAGGCAGTGAGCGGCACCGGCGGGTGAGCACCACGGGGGCCGAGAAGTCACAGTGTGCCTCCACCGTGGGCTCGGGCGTCACGGGGCTGCCGGGAGAGAAGGCGGCGGGGAGCGGCAGGTCGAAGGACAGAGAGATGACCGACTTGCTGGGCGTGTCAAACAGCTTGGTCTTGCCTCCTTTGAGGTCCTCACGTTGGGAGAAGGGGTTGAGGCGGGGTGGTGTTTCTCTAGTGTGTGCATCCATCTCGGGCTGCGGAGGCCTCCGCGAGCCAGGGGAGCGTGGTGGGAACATGTCTGACTGGCTGCGGGAGAGGCGGTAGTCGGGTGGCGGCAGCAGCCACGGGCTGGGCTCACGCCGGGGTAGTGGTTCGACACGGGTGGGAGCAGGCGCAGCATCCCCTGGGTGCAAAGCAGAGATGGCAGGTCAGTGACTCCAGCCCCAAATGTCCTTGCAGCCTGCCAGCCATGGCTGCAGTCCCCACTCCCCCAGGGTCACAGACAACAGCCTCTGGCCCAAGGCATGAGAGGTTGCTATGTCTGCCCCAGCCAGAGTATTGCATCATGCAGCCCGGGACCATGCAGGCCCTGCTGAACTGCAGGTGCTACAGAGACATCCCCCTGCAAACAGGGCCCTCACCCAGACCCTCATGATATAGGTCAGGGACTTAAGCACACGTCACTCCTCTAGGTAACTGTGATGCTTTTCAAATTGATTGGCTGTCATCAAATGACACGTGTCCCTGACTGGGCACAGGTGGTGATGTCAGTAGGGCTATAAAAGAGGGTCATTGTAGGATGAAGGAGGTTGGACATTTTAGGACACACACCCCGAAGCATGGACCTCCACAGGTCTTTACATGCTTACGATGCAGAAGTGAGTGACTTACCAAAAACTTAACTAGAAGCTAAGTTTAATATTCTCTAGTCGCATATCAAACAGGCTGACAAGCCACCTAGCTTTGCTCAAAGTTGGTTTTCTTTCTATATTTTGCTATTGATATTCCTTCCTCACCCTATCTCTCTTTGGTCAATAAATCTATCTGTGCTAGCATGCCTCGCTGTGTGTGCTTAAGAGGGAACAGACCTGCTACGGTGGACTCAGCTATTTACTTTCCTCCCACAAGGGAGGCTGCTGGTGAATGCTTCATGCTAATAAAAGCACCCTGAAATCCTAAGGTCTACAGGGTCAGTGTATCATGGGCAGCACAGGGCCCAGACAAAGACGTGAGTCCGGATGGTGGCAGTGGTTACCCCAGCCTTGTGGGGATGCTCCAGAAAGGGGGTTGGTCATAAGTTGGCGACCCTGGGGAGGCATCTGAAGCTTGTTTTTTTGGCCAGGTGCAGTGAGGTGGGCAGCTCAGCACAGAAGCACCTCCTACTGGCCTGCCACAGGGCCCATGAGCCCCTTGCCCTGAATGCAATATGGTCCATAAACCCTTCCCTGCTGCAGGGGCATGCACAGCGCTGGTGCCCACAGTCTGGTCACATGGGGCAACACAGGTGCTCCCTGGGGGTCCACAATAACTGACCTAAAAACTTGGGGCCATAAGAGCTGCAATGGGCTGCGTCAGACCTCAGGTCCATCTTGCCCCGTTTTCTGTGCCCCACAGAGGAGGCTGGAAGGAAGAGTGACTGGGTCTGAGCAGGGTCTTCCCCTGTTTCTCTCTCCCCTGCAGCCTCCAGCATTGAAGTTCCAGGCAGTTCTGATGTAGAGGTTGTACCCCTCACTCCCTGCTCAATAGTAACTGATGCCCCTTCCTCCAAGGACATGTCCAGTTCCTTGATGAACCTGGATAAATTCTCAGCTCCCACCACCACTGGTGGCTATAAATCCCATACTTCACTGACATGCCAAGGGAAATAAAACTCCTTTTTGTTAGTTTAAAATTCTGGTCTGCTTGTTTTGTGTTGTGATGCCTGGTTCTTGTCTGGGCAGAGAGATGGTCAGTAACAAGCCCCTCTTGACTTTCTCTTCCCCATTTCATGTATTGTAAAACCTTCTCCTGCCCCACTCCAGTGTTTCTCTTCCAGACTGATCAGGCCTGGTCTCATGAGTCTCTCCTCACATGGGAGCCCCTCCACAGTACTCAGCACCCTTGCTGCCCTGCTCTGCACCTTCTATAGCTCTTTTAGCTCTTTCTGGAGGTGCAGGGATCAGAACTGGGCACAGCCTTCAAGGCATGGATGCCCTGTGGATTTATAAAGGGGAGTCACAACACTTCCCACTGTGTTCACAACCCCCTTCTTCACCATCTGTAATGCGCTGTTTGCTTTTCTGACTTCTCCATGAAGGGCTGGGGGGGTCTGAGAGGAGAGGACTGTACAGATGGGGACCCCAGGGCAGGGAAGTAGGCAGCCCAAAGGAAAGGTGCAGCCACAGTACCATTTAGAGCTGCTGGTGTCTTAGGCGTAGGCATGGCCTCCCCATCGGCCTGCAGGCCGGACGCTGTGCCCTCCACTCCCAGCTGCTGCTCCAGGATGCCTTCTAGGCGCTGTGTGATCTCCAGAAAGGAGGGCCGGGATGTTGGCTCCATCTGGTGAGGAGAGTCACTGGGTCACCCACAGCCACGGGAAGCTAGCCCCACACCAACCTTCCCACAACCCCAGGGAAACTACTAACCCCAGCCGAGGGGCTGCGTGGCAGGAAGCCACCTTTGTTCTTCCCCAAAATCTCTGCTCTGTGACAATGTGATTAGGATGGGCCCAGCAGAGGAGAGACACCTCTAGCTTATCCCTTTAGGTAACCTGAGCTGGCTACATTCTTGAGGGAGGGGAGACACCTGCTCCCTCTGCCTACGGGACTGGTATCACCTACCTGAGTGAGGGGCATCTACCTGAGGGGCTAGAGTCTG